TTTAAAACCTTTGACCCTGAAATTCCACATGATAGAATTAATATTAGGAGAAGTTTCTCCCAGAGAGATGATTGGACAATTGCACAAAGTAGAGGTGTGGGACTGTTAGCATGTTGTGTATAATGGGAAATATTGGACACAATCTAAAATGTTTCTTTTAGGGAAACTTAATAGGGAACTCGGTAAATACTCCAACAATTATTTGATAAAATACAAAAAAGCTATAAAAGGGCAAATGTTTTTATTGTCCAAAAAGATGTCAGAGACATAATATTGTAAGTGAAGTGGGGGAAAAGTAGATTGGAAAACACCATGGCCAGCCAGTCCCATTCATACAGAATTATAGCCCTGGCTGGCGTAGCTCAGTGGAATGAGCACGGGCCTGCGAACCAAAGGATTGCGGTTTGATTCCCAGTCGGGGCATATGCCTGGGTTGCAGGTCAGTTCCCTGCAGGGGACGCAGGAGAGGCAACCATACATTGCTGTTTCTCTCCCTCTTTCCTTCCCTTCCCCTCTAAAGGTAAATAATAATAATAATAATAATAATAATAATAATAATAATAAAAAATTATACACTGTGTGTGTGAATGAGAGAGAAATGTCTGCAGTGATGGTTACTAAACTAACTGTGGTCATTTATGCTGTAGGACTTAAGGGTTTTTAAAAAATATTTTGTTCTATGTTAGCATTTTCTATTGTACAATGATTATGCATTCGCTTTATAAAAACTGGCAAACACACACTTTAAAATGCTCTTTGGAAACTGTTACGATGGTGTTAAAATCAGAGGGTGGGGGCCACTCCCTGGACGCTTTACCGCTGGGTTCTAACAAGAAAGCCAAATGGGGAGCAAAGGTTGATTAGTGGCTCCAGGCGAGTCCCCAGTAACCCTACAAAATACAGAACTTCATGGTATCAACAAAATTGGAGAATGTTTTTTAAAACCTTACTTTGAATAAAGCCAGGCCCCAGGATATGATCATTCTGAACACTCAATTCCCACCAAACTTGGCTGTTGTATGTAGACTGTGTTCTTGAAAAGTTTTATATTAATGTGGATTTTCATCATCAATCTAAATGCATTCTAGAGGGCCTTGTAAGGTACAGGTAACTTAATGGAGAACTTTTCCTAAATCTCATAATCATTCCCAGCTTTTTTTTTTTTCTGAATCCAGTTGTTTTCAGTGGAACTGTGGAATGGGAAATTCCACAAGCTCTTATTGCCATGACTGAATACGGAAGCCCATGTCTGTCCTTTCTCCAGAAGATAAGCCTCTTGGTTTCTCTTTTGTGAGCACAGTTTGCAGCTCCTCTGGGAGTGCTTTCTGCTGTCCTGCAGTGTTTGATTCTTCTGCTCTTTAACCAGCACTCAGGACTTTTGGTAGGTTTTCCTACTGAACACACCCTGTTTTCATTAAACAGGGAGTACACACCCACACTCGGTGTGTTTCTTTTGATCCCCATCCTGATATCTTCTACCCAGGGAAGGTCCTACAATTGAAAATAAAGTTCCTCTGGACAGCTGTTCTATTACACTCAAGCTTTTCTTGACAAGCTCATCCAAAGTGGCACAGATGATTTTTTTTTTTTTAAGCTGTGTAGGCTCCCTACTAGAGTGGCTTTCCTGAGCTAGCACTGATTGGGCATTGGGAATTTGTAAAAATCAAGGATTCTCAGTATGGCCAGGGGCGTTATTAGAATGGTCAGCTGAGTTAGTGTGTGATTTGGAATCTAGCAGAGCAGTCTAAAGTTAAAAACATTGTTTCCTTTTGAGACCAGTCATTGGTATCTGCAGTCCTCAGTTACGTTTGGAATGTCTCTAGGAATGTCTGTAAATGCGTTTGGAATGTCTGTAGATGTGTACTGGTAAGAGGAGTTCCGTTGTTGCTTTGATGCTGAGCATTTGATGTGTGCCTGGCGTCATGCTGGACACTCACGTTTGCATAGTGAAAATTACTTGGGTTCAGAAGAGTATAAGATCTTGTACATTATTTCAGAAAAGTCAAGTAAGAAGGAAAAGAAAAATCTTTTATAATTTGTTACCATCATAAAAGCAGCTCTTTTGGTATGTTTCCAATGAATAGTTTTTCCTATGCATTTTCTCATCAGCATAAACAAAGTAGTACACTTACAGTGTGGGTACTTTTTTTATTCAGTGGAACATCATACAGTTTCCTATAAGGCTGCAGGTTTTGTTGCTGGTTCAAGGTTCCTGTGCCCTGTGCTTCAAAGGCCAATAATCAGAAATGTCCAAGTTTGGAGTAAGGAAAGGGCTATTGATTGAGAAGGTGGGTGTGGGAGATTTTATGGCCTCGGCAAATCCATTTTAAGAGAGCTTAGAATTCAGGCATCTTTTATGTCCAGAGAAAGGAGAAGGGGGCGAGGCAAGAGGTGGGTGAGGAGCCTAGACAGCTAGGCACCAAGAGGGATTCAAGGACAAGGGAGATCTCCAGATCTCTTTGTTCCTGGTCGGTCTGTTGCACACCACCTCCCCCCTTGTCATCTGAGTCCAGTCTTGAGGCTCCTGTAAAGCCTTGGTAAACAGTCATTATTTTGTACATATTTCCCTACCTCTTTGGGAAAGGTGCCTTCTGACAAGGGGCTGTTCTTGCAAAAGCTCAAGCCTCGTGCGTAATTCCTCCAGTTAATTAGCAGATCTAGAGCTGAAGCTGTACACTGAAGGCCGTGGAGAAATGCAGGTTAGAATGAAAATAGTCAGGAAAGTGAGCATTTTACTGTGACATTTTCATCACCAGTATTTTTAATGACTGTCACAGTCCAGTGTGGCTGTTAGTTTTCCTGATTACTTACTTGTTAGTCTCATTGTTTTCTGAGGTTTTTAATTGCAAGATTTGGTACAGTGAATGTTATTTTTACCTGTACAGTTTTTCCTTTGCCAGTGATTTCCTGAGGATAAGTTCTCAGTGTAATGACTAGGTCAAAAGGCATAAACATTTTTTTTTTAATTTTTTTTTTTAATTTATCTTTAGAGGGGAAGGGGGGAAGGAGAGAGAGAGAGGAACATCAGTGTATGGTCGCCTTTCTTGCGTCCCCTGCTGGGAACTGGCCTGCAGGGAACCGGCCTGCAACCCAAGCATGTGCCCTGACTGGGAATCAAACCGCGATCGTGTGGGTGGTTCGCAGGCCTGCGCTCAATCCACTGAGCTACACCAGCCAGGGCTAAAAGGCATAAACATTTTAAGGGCTGATAAATATTGGTAACGTGCTTTCCAACAGGGAGATCGCTGTTTAGTATGTTTGTGTGCCTTTATCTGTGCTCTGCTGGGCCACATTCTTCCCTTCCGTGTGTTCAGTTCTCTACTTTTCCCCACACCACGATCTGTGCCCATGCTGGCCAACAGAATTTCCTGCAGTGACAGAAATATCCTATCATTTTTGCTGTGTAGTACCAGAACCATGTCACTTGTGGCTGTTGACTGTTTGAAATGTGACGAGTGTGACAGAGGAACAGACTTTTAACTTGATGTACAAGTCAGCCCCACGGGGCTGATGGCGTGGTGCTAGCACAGATCTGCTCCCCTCCCCTGGTCAGACTGAATTTCCTCCCTAAACTTGGCCTCTTAGACTAGGTTGGGACGGCAGACACACTTGGCCCCTGGAAGTGTTTTGGGTGCAGGCAGCGTCAGTGCACTTGGACCTCACCGTTCCTGTTATTTAATACAGCCCTTGAAGTCTGAGGAGTTTGTTCTCCCCACCTGTCCTCTCCTGTGTGACGTGCTCATTACTAAACAAGGCCATCCTGCTTAGTTAGAACATGTGCTTTCATCTCCCTTTGGTTGGTTGGTTGGTTGGTTTTCTTTCCACTGTAGTTTTGGCTTTTTTAGTCTAACAGCTGATATGGATGTTCATTCTGTTTAGCAGGGACGGCGAGAGGTCAGCTAAATGGTTCATCTGCAGCACGCAGTGAAGTAAAAGGTATACGATTTCCTGTTCTACTCTTTGCCAGTTTGTGAGCAGAAAAATGTGGTCCTCGGACTGAGTTACAGCCTTGGAGAAAGACAACTGACTTAACCTCTCACTGCCTGGAGAGGATTGTTTTTTTATCAAGTTTGTTACAAGAGTCCTGTTATCCGTTATGTCTTGTCTTCTGACGCTGGTGACCTTTGGATGTGTAGACCTGTTTTGTGGAACTTCCTTTTTATTCTCAAGCTTTTCTCTCCCCACAGATCATAGCACGTGAGAAAGCTACAGAAGTCACCGCCATTAGACCAAGCTCGGAGGCCCCGTCACGAACAGTGTTTAACAGTAAACTTACAAGAACCCAATACAGCTCCTAGAAGAACCAAACCCCATGAACTGAAGGCTGGGGCTTCGGACTCTAAGGGCAGAGGGGACATTCCAACAGCCCTTCCTGCGGCCAGTTCTTGGGCTGTTCCCCTCCCCCCCCAGTTCTTGGCCTCACGTGGCCTGTTCCAGTTTAAGAATACCAGTGTCAGCGGGACCCAGATGCAGCTCCTCCCCACCCCCAGGTCGGCACACTGCTTGTGTCTGTGCAACAGATGGGTGCAGATGCCCACTGAGTAGGCTGCTGCTCGGCATGAAGGACTCGGATGTAGCTGCCATGGAACTTGCCATGGCCCTTGTTGCAGTTTTGTACTCTACTTGGTTTTTCAGTGAAGTTTAATCAGTTTTTTTAAAACAAGACTTGAAGCTCGTTTCTAGACCTTTCACAGTGTACAGTATTTTACTTACCTGAGCTGTATTAAAAGTGTGTTCATTTACTTCCCAGGACCCTGGTTCTATTTTTAGTCACTTTAGAAAACCGACAAGCCTGCCTGGTTTTTGTAACTCCACTTACATTTTAAGAGGCATGTTCCTTTGCCTGGGGGAGGGGTGCTCTCACTCTGGGGGGGGGCAAGGCAGTTTACTGGGGTCCACAGCACTTTCAGCCCCTGCTTCCACCCTTCTTACCATTGACCCATTTGCATGATACGGGATTTTAGTTTTGAGTCCTGTGTAAAGTAACTCCAAGGCTGAGGCAATTTATTTATGAAATTTATTTTCTGATATATAAATTATGCTTTTCTCTGGGCAGATAGCCTTCCCCTTATTGCACTAATAGCACATCTGTAATACCAAGCTACAGGACAGGTCTCAAGAGGTTTGTACTCTTCAGTGTAGCACTGGTCTGCCAGGCACTGTGGGGAGGGGGCTGCAAAGCCAGGGTCCCTCGGGTAAAGAATTGGGAGGGAACAACTTGATTACCATCTGACAGGTGCTTTTCTCCCAGAAGGGGAACATGCAAAGCTTACATTCGGGTTCTGGGCGTGGTGAAGAGCATGAGGGCTGAGAAGCCCAATGCAACACCTCAGCTCCGCTCCCCTTCTCTGAGGGAAGAGGGGACTCCTTTTTTTTCTCATTGTAACAGATCTTTCTGGCCTAGCTGATGCTTTGCAGAAACGATGAGGATGAGGTCATCAGAATTTTTAGCAGCAATTGAGATCAGGCCATACATTGCCACAGTATGCTTGCTATGCTCAGATGTCCCTATGCCCACACTAATTAGCGAAGTTCTGATGCTGGATCTTTGGACTACTGGTCAAGGCTGTAATGAGACCGAGTCCTGCAGGCAGAGTGACGGGGATGCCGTGGGAGGGAGGGTGGAGCCACGTGAGGTGGGGGGTGAGCAGTGATTGTTAACATGATTGGGCCCTCTGCAGACAGAGGCCAGACTGGATAGGGGTGGGGCAAGGAGGAGCTGCATAGTCCGGGAGCTCCCCGAACTCTGCCTTCGCACTACACTGGAGACAAGTTGCTCACACTCTAAAGCACGTTCTTGATACAGGAACAGGGACTTTGGGGGGAAAGCGGTGATTTGGTATTGGGCAAGAGCACGTCACGCCTTCATGAGAGCAGCCACCACAGCCTTGGCGTTGAGACTACGTAGGTCACAGTAAGTCTGGCCAGTGCCCACAAACACGATGGGTTTGCTTGTGATGTAGGTCATAGAAATAGCAGCTCCCACCTGATGCGGAAAAAGAGGTACCCAGTCAACTCAACGACCTTCAGTTCACTCCCCAGTACAGGAAGCTCTGTAGCAAACATGGCCTCAGCTCCCCTGTGGAGGATGGCCGCTCCCTGCCCTCCCAGTAACACTTGGATTTACCTTGTCATCAATGGTATCAAATTTGGTAAGGACAATGCCATCAATGAGCCGAGGTGTTTGAGCCATGGAATGGTCAGCCAAGGCTCTGTTGAACTTGACCTGGAAAGAAGTGGGAGGTAAGTATAAAAAGCACCTAACTGGCCAAAGCTAAGGTTGGGGAGAACCATGCTGTAGCCCTTGCCCTCACCAGCTGATCCACAGCCTCGTTGCCTACTAAGGCCTCTCCCACAAACAGCACCAAGTCAGGCGTGTTGACAGTAATGAGCTTGGCCAGGGCAGCCATCAGAGGAGCATTGTCTTGCATGCGACCGGCTGTGTCCACCAGCACCACATCAAAGCCTTGATTACGTGCTAGAGAGAGAAAAAGTCGTCAACTCAAAACTCCTGGGCCGTCACGTGGATTTCCAGCTTTCTCTCAAGTCCTGGCCTGACCACGTTAAAAGCCTACCAGTTTCCTTTCTTGGCATCTGGGTATGATTACAAGGTAGCGGGAGAAGAAAAACCCATTTTATGCTTGGCTCTGCAGGCACAGTCAGGAAAAGGACTGCAGTTGATCAAGGTGACCAAATACAGAGGTTTCTTCTGGGGGGATATAGTAGCTTTGCTTGCAACTACACCTACCACCCAAAGCAGAGCATGGCAAGTCACCGATCCCGACTTGCTACTGAGCAGCCTGTTGGTAGCACGATCAACCCTGATGCTCCGCATACTTTAAGCGAACCCAAGGAGGAAAGGGGCCCAGACCACGTTCCCACATGTGGTGTGCACTGTACCAAAGGCAATAGCTTCCATGGCGATGCCAGCGGCATCCTTGCCATAGCCCTTCTCGAACAAGTGCACCATGGTGCGACCACCGTGACTCTCGGGGGGGTGCAGGGCACTCAAACGTCGGGTGTGTGTGCGCAGCTGCTCCACAGCCCCAGCACGAAATGTGTCACAGGCAGCAATGAGGACACTGAAGCCATTCTCCAACAGCCAGAAAGAAATCTGCAAGAGGGACAAAGGCAACTGTTACCTCGAACCAGAGTAGCTAAGATAGTGAAGAAATGTGGAACAGGTAGGGAACTGCACTGACCTTGGCAAGGTTCGTAGACTTCCCCACTCCATTAACGCCACAGAAGGTGACAACGTAAGGGCGCTGATGACGCTGGGCATCCATGATATCCCGGAGCATGTCGACACGGCGCTGTGGTTGCAGAATCTGCACAAGGGACTCTTGGAGGGCCTGCTTCACTGTGGAAGTCACCGCTGCAAGGGGGAGGAGGCTCAGCCATGAGTCCCAAAGAGTGTACTCCACAAGTGCCCACCAGCTTTCTGCGCTAAGGAAACTCGAATCTGGGTGCTCACGTGACCAGGCCCTCGCCCCAGGAATCCACCCCATATCTGAGGACTGTCCTAGTAAATATTTTACAAGCGTTAACTCAGTAGAGGTTTAGAGCTTAAGGGATTTGGCGAAAGTGAGGGTGGTACGTGAACTCCTGGTGTACATCACGCCCCCCCTGCACGTTCTGCTTTAGGGTGATACTCACTGCTGAACGTCCCCATCACCTTCCCTTCCAGCTTGTTGGCCACGGACTCACAGAGCTGGACTGCAATGTCTGCTGCTACGTTCTTCACTGAGGAGAGGGCAGCAGGCACGGTGTGAGTGCCATGTCAACAGTGAACGACCCCCGTGGTGCAGCTGAGAAACCAGTTTGTTATGTTCTCCACCATCCCTCCTCCACTAACAGGAGCCCGCCTGTGACTCGGAACTCACTGATGAGATGATCACGCATCTTGTCCAGCACAGACTCCATGTCTTCACGACTCAAACTCTTGGAGCCCACAAGGCCTTTCAGCATCCCAAACATGCCACCCAGAGTCCCCTTGGTAGCACTGCAGGCACAGGAGAGTGGGCAGAGTCAAGTCTCATCCACTCTGGAGCCACACCTACCACCTACCACCTGTGATTTCCTACCTAGGTTTGGTAGGGTTTGGAGTGGCCCCCTCATCATCTGAGCTGCTGCAGTCCAGATCCTGAAGCTGCCCCCCAGGCCCAGTCCCTCGAATCTGCAGGGTACGGGGAAAGGAAGGAGGTAAGATTAGGCAAACTAAAGGTTTCTTTCTGGGGGAGAGGGGAAAAACCCAGAACTTACTGTTCTGTCCCCTCAAAGAAATCAAAGATACTGCCCTCCTCCTCTCTACTTCCTCCCCCATTCTTTTTAACAGGGACCTTCACTCTGGCCCCTGTTGACTCTTACCAAATTGATGTCCTCAGGCGGGACAACCTCTGGGGCTCCGTTGGTGGTAGGAGCACTATAATCCAGGTCTTCCTTGTTGGCACAGCCACCCAGCGCCCACACCCGAGGTGCTTTCTTGCCCTTCTCCTTTGGAGCATCTGACTTTGTAGACTTGCTGAAAGGGTTACAGCACAGAAGGTTATGGTGGAGAAGCAGGAAAGGAAACATCCACCCGAGAACCACAGACAAGAACGCCCTCACCCCCAACATGGCTGGATTATGGCAAAGGTTAGAATGCTCACCTGGACTTCTCCATACCCTTCCCATGTTTCTGTATGAACTCCTCTCGCTTCCTCCGTATCAGCTCTTCTTTGGAAAGTTCTACCCCATTCTCAGCCCCTACTGACTTCTCTGCAGAGGCTGTTTTGCTGGTAGCCAAAGGGACATCAAAACCTGTTAGGAGAAAAAGGACCAGATTCCAACAAAATAGACAATGGAGAAAACATCTTCCAAATCCTTAAGGAGGACACTAGCACAAACATCTTGGGACCCACAAGGACTGGGGATGATAGCGAGGGTGGTGGGCATTTGGGTGAGGGAGACAGGCAATGACAAAGAGAAGGATGGGGAACCACTTCAGTACTTGGTACCACATTAGTTTTTCATGGTCTGTATGTCCAAGGAGCTCAAACTAACCTTCCTTCTTGGCCCCCTTGTTTTTTTTATTCTTTGCTTTCTCCTTGGGCTTTTCACCTCGAGTCTCAATCATGGATCTTACAGGTTTTTTGGCCTTTTCAGAATCTTCATATTTCTTCATGGTAGTTGGAACCCGGACCTTACTGCTCTCCTCTGCTTCACTGAAGAGAAAGAGAATGGCTGAAGTCCAGAGGAAGGACCCCTCATACCGAGAGGATGATTTTGAACTGGGCAGCAAATTTAGAAGCATCTTTCAATAAGCAGTTTACTTTCAATAAGTAACCTCAGGAAGGGAGAGAGCTCAGCAAGTCATGGAAACTGATTTTGGAGAGGGGAGGCCTCTCACCGAAGGAGCTGCAGAAAGTCATTTTGGAAATCGAAAGTGCCATTTAATAGACTCAAAGCACTTTGCTGTTGAATCTCTGTGCGGTACTTGTCCCGAAACAGCCGGTGCACATCATCTATCAACTTGTCTACGTATGTCAGCGTTAGGATCTTCTGAAAACCAACCTGTTCCGGAGAAGAAAGAGAGCCAGCAGATCTGTTTACATGCCATTCCAGAAGACAGGGAAGCAAACTCAAGCCAGGCCTCCAGATTGGCTAAGCCGTCTGGCAGGTGTCCCTGACCTGAGGGGTAGCCAAGCTCTCTGACTGGGCCCCAGAGTTTCTTCCCTTTACCCCCACCCTCTTTGCCTTCTCAATTACTTCATCATATAACACTTTCCTCAGTTAATCCGGGTTCTCTTTCTAATCAGGACTATGTTGAGGATGCACTTGGCCCTCTAAAATTCCCCCACTTACCACAAACACCAGCTCAAACTGGTTGTCCAGTTTATACTTGAGTGTGAGCGCTTCATGGGTGAAGGAATTGTTGCCTCCCCTTTCCTGGAAAGACAGTATGTCTCAGAGTTCCGACTATTCCCCAGAAAAAACCCAGTCTTGGACCCCTCAATGATTACCTTTGGGAAAGAACCAAATATTCCCCCCAGTCGAACCTGTTCCAGGACTGGTGGATGCTGGGAATTGTTCTCCAGCATTCCGCCAGGGAGAAATGAGATAATGAGCTGGGGGTTGTGGCAAGAGTTGAGAGTGGCAAGACATACGGGAGCCAAAAGGAAAGTCGTCACATAAACAATCAGGTCCACTAGCAACTGTACGCTACTCACACTTTTAAAAGGCGTTTTCCCACCCAATTATCTCACCCATTCTTGGAAACAACAAAAAACCAAGCTGTCAGGAACGAAGGGAGGGAACAATGTTAATAGTCTGAAGCGCCCACTCCGGCTAGAGTCCCAGAGAGTGGAGGGGGAGGGGGGCCGCAAAGTTGCGGGACGGCCTGAAGGGGGCGGGAGAAAGTTGCTGGATACCCGGGAGCGGCCAGTTCTCTGGGTGGACAGGGTGGGAGCGAGGCGCGGGGTCTGCCGAGGGGGACTACGGATCGGATGGGGGGACGAGCCCGCCGATCTGACCCAGAGGGGGCGGTACCTGCAGCAGCACAGAACGAATCAACGCGTTAACGGGCCCGGTGCAGGAGTCGCTCACGCCCTGGAAGCACCAGAGCACGAGCCCGCCCTTCGAGAAAATGGTGAAGAAGTCGAGCATGGCGGCAGCGGGAATGGAGCCCGGCCGGCGCCGGCAGCTGAGGCCCCGATCGCCCGACTTCCTGCTGCGCCAAGCACTGGACACGTCACACTAGCGGCCCCGGAAACTGGCCCAGCGGTACTTCCGCTCAGAGCCCTGGGTTCCCTACCTTTTTCCGCCTGAGGGCGCTCTGCACGACACAGAATCAGGCTGGCCAATGGTGGGCCGGGTCGGGCATGGGCGGGGCTCTAGGGCGGCCACCGGGAGACCGAGGACCTATAGCGTGCTGAGACGGAGCTGCAGGAGCCACTGGCCAATGGGTGCGCTTTTCGAACGCCAGGAGGCGCGGAGCAGTGACGACTGCGAGCAGTGCCGAGTTTAAAGGGTCGTATCAAGAAAGAGCGCGCTTGGAAGGGACATGTTTCGAGGGGCGGTGCGGCTCTGTGCAGGCCGAGGCCACTTGGGCCGGGGGCTAAGAATGCTCAAAGGAGGCTCGACTCCGGGTAAAGTTGAGGGCGCCGGAGGGTTATTATGGTTCTGGGGTACCCCCGGTCTCCAGCTATGTGACCTTCAGAACTTGGGACCCCGGCCGCGCTGGGCAGACAGTGGGTCCAGCTGGGAGAAGGGGGTAAACTTTCCCGCTGGAGCTTGTAAAGCCTGGACAGGTGCATGGATGCCAAGGTTGCCCTCCTCAGGTGACAAATCTAGATGTCTTTGTACCTCAGCTTACCATCAGCATAAGAGGCCAGGCCGATAGGTTCCTTAGCTGCTCAAATGTACGTCGAGTCCTGCTCACGTGCAGCATGCGGTGCTTAGAGTCGGGGCCGTGAAGGAGGGAAGAGAAGGTGATGGTTCAGCATATTCCCTGGAGGTGCCAGCACTGGAGCTGGGGAGGGAAGATGTTCTAGACCAGTTCAAGACTGCCTAGGCCCCAAGCTAGTGTTGTAGAAGTAACGAAACATGGAGCAGGTGGCAACAGAGATCTGATTTGAAGGGTGTTTACTGGCTCTGGGAAGGTGTTTGTTTCAGTTTCTGGAAAACTGAGCAGAGCATTTTTCTTGTGCAAGGAACTAGCCAAAGCCATCTGAACATTTGGAATAGTAGTGTGAAATGTGTGGACAGGTAAGGTAAGCCCAGATCAGAGAAAGATTCTGATGCTGCTGCCCTTGGTCTTGGAAACAGTGAGAAGACTTGGACATTTGTGAGTTAGGTGTTAATGACAAAGGATTCGTTTATTCAGGATATTTAAGCACCTCGGATGTGCCAGGTAGTCTGCTAGGCTGGAGACTCTGTGGTGAAGGTAGACATAGTACAGTATGAAGCAATCACAAATCAACAAAATCAAAGTTGCAGATGTGTTTCATGCTCCAAAAGAGGATCACAGAACTGTGAGTGAATGCGACGGGAGAATCCGACATAGTCCAGTGTAGGTGGTCAGAAAAGGTTTCCCTAAGGAAATAACTGAGCTGATGTCTGAAGGAAGAAGAGTGACTGGGGCAAAGAAGTGGACCCAGAGTTTCAAAGCAGAGAGAAAACCCATGTAGATTGCCTGTGATGGGAGGAAAAATGGTGCCATCAAGGAAGTAAAGGGGTGGGGGCTGGGGGGGGGGAGGACAAGGTGAACTGGAGCCGGATCTTGTTTCATGGAAAGTGTTTATGGATTTTGGACTTTTATCCTTAGAGTAAAGGAAAGCCTTTGAAGGGTTTTAAGCAAGGGAGTGTGATTAAATTAGTGTTTAGAAGAGATCATTTAAGCTGCGATGTAGAAATGAATTTGGAGGTGTTGGCAAGAGGAGAATTAGTGGGAACAGTTAGGAGGCTTTTGTGTTAGTCTAAGAGAGATTATGGCAGCTTGGTCTAGGGCAGTGGTGACAGAAAAGGGGCCAGATTGGGGAGATATTTAGGAGGCAAAGTCATCAGAACTTGATAATACATAGGACATGAATGTGAGTTTGCTGGTGGTGACAGACATCCAGGATAAGGGGCCACTCAGAGGTACCATGTCTCAGAGGTTGCTTCAGTGTGGAGCGTGCTGGGACCTCTTGGTCCAGGAGCCTGGGACATCCAAGTGGAGGTGACAGTGCAGTAATGCAGTGGAGTATACTGCATTACTCTCCTGCAAGGAGCTGGCCAAAGCCATCTAAAGTCCAAGTGGCTCCCAAGAGAGATAGGTCTGCACAGGTGATAAAGATGCTTAAGTCACCTCTCCTAGGGACAAAGTATGGAGCGTTAGTTTTAGGGAGTTGAACCTCGTGCCGGGCATGATGCACGAAATGGAGGAGAGATGAATAGCACGCAGGCCATGCAGCAAAGCTGCAGAACACTGCTGGTGCAAGTGACTGAGAGGGGGTAACAGTGGGGACTGTCACCTCAGTGAAATTTAGCCCACTTTTTTCTGTACCCACCCCCTACTGCCCTCAAAGGAAATGTACGACCCTCTGACCATCACTGTGCCCCACAGACTGGGCTGGAAAGGTGTCCGAAATTAAGAAGAAGATGCAGTCATTTCTTCCTGGAGGGGCCTGGAACCCACTGTATGACACCAGCCACCTGCCCCCTGAACAGTCGGATGTGGTGGTTGTGGGAGGTGGGGTGCTCGGCCTGTCTGTGGCCTATTGGCTGAAGAGGTTGGAGAAGCAACGAGGCGCCATCCGGGTGCTGGTAGTGGAACGGGACCACACGGTGAGGTCTGGGGTAGGACAGTCACAGGCGGGGCTGGGACTTGGGTTTTACTCTGGGGACGAGGGAATGGGAGAAAAGACCTCAATATTTGGAGGTCCAAAGGGCAAGGACTGTGCTTTGGACCTTATTGAGAAAGAGTCCCAGGCTCTTCCTCCCTCACACTCGGGGCCTTAGCAGTACAGTTTTTGCCTTTGAAAGGGAATTTTACAACATTGGATCTCTTGAGATGTCACAGGTCTGGCCAAGAGAGCCTGCATTGAAGTTATAATTGATACAAACAGTCCCCTTTAGGTTTCACTATTTCTGAAATTTTGCCCTGATCTGTTCCTGTTACTGCTGCCAGCCAGCCAGGAATCTTGCTACTTTGGCCATATCCCTCTATCTTCCAATTAGTAGATGAAACGTTAACCCCCTGCCCTTGGACTCCAGGCCATTAGCATTTTGTACAACTGCCCGGCCCATTCCTGATGACTGACTCTCTGCTCTGCTCGCCTGCTGACAAGGACTTTAATAACTGTCATCCTCTGCAGGCTGCAGGATGACTTACACGTGGGTTTACCCCTGTCAGCTCCTCTTTGATTACAAACCTGGACTCCCCTTTAGCTTTAGGTGTGTGACTCGCCGCTTCTGTGGCAGCATCCTGTGTGGCAGGGGACTCACTGGTCCACTGACTCCCCTGTCTTCCCACAGTATTCCCTGGCCTCCAGTGGGCTTTCCGTGGGCGGAATCCACCAGCAGTTCTCCGTGCCCGAGAACGTCCAGCTCTCCCTCTTTTCAGTCAACTTTCTACGGAACATCAACGTACGTGCATTGAGATTTGGGGGTTGGCATGGTGACCCCTCTTTGACCCCAGAGAGAGGTGCAGCCCAGCTGGCTGGGGGGAACGGAACAGGAGAGGCCAAGTTGGAAGCAAAGTGCGCCCCCCCAACCCTGTTTTTCCCCCGCGGAGCCTGGAGGAGGGCGGCCAGAGGGACAGTGGGCTGCCGAAAGGAAGAAGGGATCAGATGACAAACTGCCTGGGAGGCTCGTGTTTCCCACCCGTTCACTGAGAACAGAAAACTGGGGAGTGTGCAGAGAAGGGCACGAATGAGGTCGAGCCCACACTTGTGAGCTGGGTCTGTACTGCTCCCTCTGCACACTCACCCTCTCCACACACACACACACACACACACACACACAGGAAGGAGCCTAACCCCCTCAGGGTTAGGGCCCTGAGCCCAGACAGTCATAGGTCGGGAAGCCAAGGATGCCTCCATCCTGCTTTCATTTTTTTAAAGATTTTTATTTTATTTTTAAAATTATTTTAGTGTTGTTCAGTTATAGTTGTCTGCGTTTACCTCCCACTACTCCCCCCCCCACCTCAGCCAAACCCACCTCCCTCCCTTACTTCCAAGATTTTTATTTTTAGAGAGAGAGAAACATCAGTGTGTGAGAGCTACGTCAATGAGTTGCTTCTCACATGCCCACAACTGGGAACCTGGCCCGCAACCCAGGCATGGGCCCCAACTGGGAATTGAACCTGCAGCCCTTCGGTTCGTAGGCTGGCACTCAACCCACTGAGGCACGCCAGCCAGGGCTCCATCCCTCCTTTCAAGCAGCTGCTCTGAGGCGCTCTTTTTTGCCCTTAGGATTACCTGGCTGTAGTCGATGACCCTCCCCTGGACCTCCAGTTCAACCCCTCAGGTTATCTTTTCCTGGCGTCAGAAGAGGGCGCTGCGATCATGGAGCACAACGTGAGAGTGCAAAGGTGGGTGCCCTTGGGTGCCCAGCACACGTAGGACCTCAGGACCTGGTGCTGAGGGCTGTGGCCCAGCCCCGGGCCGAGGGCTGCTGCAGAACATCCTAAATGGCCAGACAACAGGAGCCACCTGGGACACACCCCAGACCTGATAAACCAGAATTCCCAGGGAGGGGCCTGGGAACGTGCAAGCATTTCCTGAGAGAGCCCGTCAGTCCGTATTCTAGGCTTTACAGGCCACACAGTCCCTACTGCCATCACTCAACTCTCAGCTGAAGCCCAGAAGCTGTGACAGACAGAAAAGCACACAGATGGGGGTCCGTGCACCTGCGCTGCAGCCGGACGTGGCGGTCCCGCCCTCAGTGGTGGTCTCAGTCAGCTGCGTGTCTTTAGCAGATGCTTTTCCCAGTCTCACCAGTGACGTCAGGCCCTGTCCTGAAGGCTTTAGAGTTGTTAGCTATCTCCTGTATCATTGGAACGCCCCCATTTACGTGTGGGGAAATCGAGGCACAAAGAGCTAGTAAGCAGTGGCACTGGGATTCCAACCATGTGGTCTGGCTGGTGAGTGTGGTCTTTCAGTCCCTATGTTGCTGCCTTCGGACAGCAGAATTCCAGGGGCAGTGGCGGTGCTGGTGGATGGGATTGCACCGGGACTGGGCAGGAAGGCTGCCCAGGCGGAGTGCAGGGACAGAGTGAAAGGACATTGCGAATAGTTAGGGGGTGGCAAGGACTTAGTGCGGCCAGAGGGACAGTAGGCTGCTGGAAAGGAAGAAGGGATCAGATGACAAACTGCCTGGGAGTCTCCTGTTCCCCACCCATTCAATGAGAACAGAAAACTGGGGAGTGTGCAGAGAAGGGCACAAACGAGGTCGAGCCCACACTTGTGAGCTGGGTCTGTACTGCTCCCTCTGCACACTCACCCTCTCTAACATGCATGCACACACACACACACCCATGTTTCTTTCAGACAGGAAGGAGCCAAAGTGTGTCTGATGTCCCCTGAGCAGCTGCAGAACAAGTTTCCCTGGATAAACACAGAGGGAGTAGCCTTGGCGTCTTATGGTGAGGCCTGCATGCACGGGGGTTGGGGGTGCGGGTACCCCAGGTGCGAAGTCTCAGCACCCTGCAGCCAAGTGAAGGACGGACGCTCCCCTCCTCACCAGCAGGGCTTCCCCAGGCGGTGCCAACTCTGTTCTGCCAGATTTGACTCGGTGTACTCGGTCAACTTGACCTTCCCCCACTTTCGAGCCCAGAAAGAGCTGGGGCTGTGGGAAATACAATAAGAGAGGAGAGCTCTGGTCCCTGTTCATGAGTCTTCTTTTGTCCCCCACAGGGTTGGAGGGTGAAGGTTGGTTTGACCCCGGACGTCTGCTCCAGGGGCTCCGGCGAAAGGTCCAGGCCATGGGGGTCCATTTCTGCCACGGAGAAGTGACACGTGAGTCCGAGGCCCCGTGCCCAGTACTTATTTATTCCCTTGGCCGTCCAAGGCGCAGCCGTGACTGTGTCTTACCTTTACTCGCAGGCCAAGCAGGGGTTGGTGGGGAGATGGCTTCTCCCCTGCGGGCTGGTCCTGGGCATCCTGGCCCCAGCCCCTGGCTTGGCCTCCTCCTGACCCTCTTGAAGATTTCAGCGCTCTCGGTCCTGAGTGGGGCCAAGTGTGTGCCAGTGGCGTTCTCTGTTTACATCAGTGTCTGTGAGGCGCTCCCAGCCTCCTTTCCTTAGGAGACCGATGTAATTCCCAACTTCTTCCTCTTCGGGGCCTCAGTGGCTTTGCGTAATTTTCCTTTTCCTGCAGGTTTTGTCTCCTCCTCGAACCGCATGGAGACCGTGAGTGGGGAAGAGATAACCTTGAAAAGGATCCATGAAGTTCATGTAAGTCCCCAGTCTAAGTATCTTCGTTACCAAAGTGGAGGGACGAGAAAGTTAATGACTGTCATTTGCTCTTCTACCCACTGCCAGTGTGGGTAAACTAAGGCTCAGGAAGACACGTGCCTCTCTCGGTGGCCAGTGCGAGGGCCAGGCCCTGCCTCCCCTCCCCCTCTGGTGCCTGCAGGTGAAGATGGACCACAGCATGGAGTACCAGCCTGTGGAGTGCGCCATAGTGATCAACGCGGCCGGAGCCTGGTCTGGGCAGATAGCAGAGCTGGCTGGTATTGGAAAGGGGCCGCCTGGCACCCTACAGGGCACCAAGCTGCCTGTGGAGCCAAGGAAAAGGTGACTTACCGCAGGGCAGCTGGGGAGGTTGGTGAGAGGAGGAAAGACACAACCAGAAGGTTGTCAAGTGGGAGAAGGGAAGAGTCGCTGTCCCCCCGATGCCCTAACCCCGGGGTTGCGGCAGGTATGTGTACCTGTGGCACTGCCCCCAGGGACCAGGCCTGGAGTCTCCCCTTGTTGCAGACGCCAGTGGAGCCTACTTCCGCCGGGACGGATTAGGCAACAACTACTTGGGTGGCTGTAGCCCCACTGAGGTGAGCGAAGCGGGGTTTCGGGTGCTGGGGAGGAAACAGACCCAGAGTCGTTAAAGAGGCGGGCCTTTGGGGAGGGCCCAGGGCTGCTGTTAGTGTTGCAGCCCCTCCGGGTTTGAAGTGGGCTCTCTTGTCCTCATCCCCGACCTTCTGGAGGGGGGCTGTGAGATCTGGCTCTGTCCTCGTGCCCCAGGTAATGCAAGCCTTGTCCCCACCTCTCACCCCAGGAGGAGGAACCAGACCCAGAGAACCTGGAAGTGGACCGTGATTTCTTCCAGAACAAGGTGTGGCCCCGTTTGGCCCAGAGGATACCAGCTTTCAAGAGTCTGAAGGTAACTAGAAGGAAGGAGACAGATGATACTGGAGCCCCTTGGTCCCCTTGGAAAGCCTGTCCTCAGCCTCTGTGCGCCTACCTCACAACTGCTAAGGATTCTGTGGTCTAAGGGCCTGTCCCATCGATCCCCCCCCCTCCCCCAGCAGTGGTAGAAGGTGCTGATGCCAACCAGGAGAGGGTGGGGAGTACCGCAGCCTTCCCGAGAACCCCAGCATCCTGTGCCCCTGCAGGTCCGGAGCGCTTGGGCTGGTTACTGCGACTACAACACCTTTGACCAGAATGGCGTGGTTGGCCCCCACCCACTGGTCGTCAACATGTACTTTGCCACCGGCTTCAGTGGCCATGGGCTCCAGCAGGCACCCGCTGTGGGGCGGGCAGTGGCCGAGATGGTGCTAGAGGGCCACTTCCAGACCATCAACCTGAGCCCCTTCCTCTTCAGCCGCTTCTACTTGGGAGAGAAGGTCCAAGAGCACAACGTCTTCTGAGCCTGTAAGCTCTTCACTGGCCTCCTTTCCCCTGCGTCACCCCTGGCTCAGATTCTGGCCACGGTCACGGTGTCCTCCCCAGTAGCATCTCGGGAGGGAGGCTGAGGTCTCCTGCACCCTCCTGCTGGTGCCCAGGTGATTCTGTCGCATGTGGCTGGGCAGGTGGGCAGACTGCAGGCTCTGAGGTCCTGCACCGGAGGCCCAGGCTGATGGAGAGCGATGGGGCAGGACCCCAGGACTGACCGCTGGCCCAGGCCGATGCGTCCTCGCTGAGGCAGTCCATCAGGACAGAGCGCCCCGTGGCCCTAAGCTCTGTGGTCCAGGACTGGCTCCTTCCCGGTGCCAACCCCGAAAGATCACCTCTGCCCCTCGTCGCACAGCCCAGGCAGGGAGCATTCCAGTGCAGCCTGGCCCTGATTTATTACCAGTCAATAAATGTGGTTAGTTCCATCCTGCCAGTTTCCTGTCCCTTCCTCTCTTCTCCCCATGGCAGTTCCCTCTGAAGTGCCAGCAAGACTCAGAGGAATATAGCCTCCTCCTCCCCCTCCCAGGAGCTATCTTAAATCCTTGTTGGCAAGCTGGTGCCTCCTTTCCCACTCGGGGCAGGGGTGTGGTTGTAGAAGGGAGGGTGTGTTCATTCCTCTGTGGTATCCATTCAGCTCCAGCTTGCAGTCAGGCCCAGGCAGGGCTGCATATTAGAGATGCACCCACAAGCCAAACCTAAAGGATAAGCAGCTTAACAAAGGCAGTGCAGGGGCAGTGGGGAGGGGAGCGATTCCCGGCTCACTGAGGGGAAACAAAGAAAACCATACGCAAAGGCCAGGGACCAAGAATCATCCAGGTTCAAGGGACTGGCGAGATCGTGATTTTTTCCTGGCAGGTCATGGCGTGAAAGAAGGGGTACTTCAGCACCAGGGGCTGAAGAATCGTGCTGTGGGCTTGGATTTCCTTCTGTGGGCAGGGGCTGCTGGTCGGTTTTCAGTAGGGAAGCGACGTGATCGGGTTTCCTTTTAAAGAAAGCACCCGGCCTGCCCGGTGCACAACAGGCTGTGAGGTCCAAGCAGGCAGGCAAACGGACGGATGGAAGGCTGCCGCTGTGGCCTGCATGGTCCCTGAAAGAAGCGTGCCAGTCCCAGAGGCTACAGTGGCCCCAGGAACGTGGGTCAAGTAAAGCTCTAGTGTCTGTGTTGAATTGGATATCCTGCTTTCGCGGAGATGAGGACGGGTGAGGGTCAGAATGGTTCTGTTGGGACAGAAGTTGTGAGGGCCAGAATGGATGGCAGTGGAGCTGAGCGCAGGACACCTGCAGAGCTGTCAAACAGGTTGAATTTACTGTTGTGGCTGCAGGGTGGTCTGGGCTGAGGCAGAGATGTGGACACCGGGGAAGAGGACGCTATCAATCACTGCGGGAGGGTAGAAGGGTTGGGGACAGAGCGGGGAAGCTGGAGGGACTCTATCACCTTTAACGGAGGAACCGAAGAGGAGGCTGCTGGCTAGTGGCCAAGGGCAGAAGAGCCAGGCGACTGAGGGGACTGGCTGAGGAGCGTCGGTTTATGGTACAAATGCACAGGGGGGCTAGAAGCCGCTCATGTAGTTGGGGGACCCCAAGGCGAGCTGATGCAGAAGGAAGTGCACCTCGGTGGGGTCTGAGGTGGGGGCTGCTGTTCAGAAGGGGGAGGTGAATGGGCATAAACACAGCTAGTGAAGGCCCCCCACCCCCAAAATGCCTTTGGGGAGAAGACTGAAGCAAAAGATGGAGGTGGACCTTATTGATGATTACCTGGGGCAGGGGATGGGGCCAGGGGTGTGTGTGTGGATGTGCTGTCAGTAAGGTAACATGAGAAGCCCCTGGACGGTGAGGGGTTAAAGAACCAGGAAAGGAGGAGCCACCGGAATTTGGTGCTGAAAGACAGGAAGGAACTTGCCAGGGGCACCCTTAGCCTTGTGGGTCACCCTTAACCTTGTGGGCTGGCCTCCTTAGCGGCCCAGCATCACCCTTCAGTGCTGACACAGCTATTTATGGATCAGAGGAAAAAGGCCTTCAACCGGCTCAGCACCCGAAGCTACTTCCTTCGAGAAAACAAATGAACTCAGTAAGGCATAGGTGAATCCTCTATCCTCCCCCAGGGCCTTGTTCAGGAGGCTAGGAGAGTCTGTACTCAAGACTGCTTGTGTCACTGTTAAACTGCGAGGGACAGGGACTCAGTCTCCCCTCCGAGCCGCCACGGAACCCTCTCTACTCCTTCTGGAGCCGGAAGATGGGTCCCTGGCCTCAGGGAATCTTCAGTCTAGGGTGAGGGCTAAGCCGCAGGAGCACAAGCTCCCAGTAACACCAGGTGCTGCAGGAATTTGGAGAAAGAGGAGGGAAGGGAGGGTTAAGCAGAGTTTTCCTGCATAAGATACAAAGATAACTTTCCAGTAGCGGGGTTGTTGAAGGCAGATCTAGGAAAAGAGAGGGCCCTGTGGGCGCAGGGGACTAGGGGGCCGAGGCTGCGGGGGTTCCTGTGAGCGCAAGGGCTCATCTGCAACTCTCTGCCCAAGTGGTAACTCCGTCGGTGCCCACGAGCCCACTAGTGGCCACGGCGCCTCACCGCAAGCGCAGAGGCCGGGCCAGGGACTGAACCCGCCTGCACCTCCTAGCGCCACTGGGCGGGTGCAGGAGGAGGCGGGACGCAGGCTGGGCGCTTCCGGGGAGGGGGCCGCTCCCTGGCCCGCGCTGGACTTCCCCTCGGCCAGGGCACCCAGCCCCGGCCCGAGCCCGCAAACACCACCACAAGCCAGTGCTGCGCAGGTGAGCGCATGGAGGAGGTGGGGGGAGGGGGGCGTATGCTGGGGTCCAGGGAGGGAGGGCGGGCAGCCTTGGGGTAGGCAGGTCCTGCGTCTGGCCCGGAGCCCGCACTTGGCCCTGCCCCGGGCGCACTTGCCATCCACCGCCTCCCTCCCGCCCCTTTACTTGCTGCCTCGGGCACCCAGAGCACGGAAGCAGGATGAAAAGGGCTTCTGAGACAGCTGTCACCATCCTGTCGCAAAGAAGCTGGTTTGGGGAGCCTTCCTTGAACCGGGGAGGAGGGCTTGGTCGGGTTTCTCCCACAGTCTCCCCTGCTGTGCTCACCACTTTGTCTTGTGACCGAGTTCCTGGGGGAACAGGACTGTCCTCAGGGTAATGACCTGCAGGCATTCCTGCCACAGTCATTTCACCAACATCTGCCGTGGGCTGGGCACCGTGAGAAGCGCAGGAGTGCCACCACGGAACAGGACAAATTCACCTCCCCCCTGGAGACAGGCGGGTAGGTGAGAAATCACAGTCCCACCTGGCCAGCGCAGCTTGGAGAGGGGAAGTTCTGTAGCTGCCCAGGAGGTACCAAGGGTCAGTGATGACTGTCACAGGAAGTCGTATTAGTTGGTTTTTAAACTTTTTTTCATGGCACAAATCGTAAGTGTACCTCGTACGCGAAACTTTCTGACCTGTGCCACCTGCAACACTGCTCGCTCTGCAGAAGCCCTTCTGCACCACTTCCAGGTGCCACACCCCAGCAGGGCTACTCTCCTGGCATCCAGCCTCCTCAAGGAGTTTTACCTAGTTTCGAACTTTTGATGCATGGAGTCGCACGGTGTGTACTTTTTGCATGTGGCGTTTTATACTCGACGTGTGAGATTCACCCATGTTGCATGTGGCAGGAATTCCTTCGTTCGCTTTGGGGTGCGACGTCCCACCGTACAGACAGGCCGCAGGTCATTTCTGCTGGACCTGGGGGGGGTGCGGCTCGGGCTGTTTCCAGCACGGGGTTGCCTTCCGTGGTGCGAAGGCGTCCCTGTGTTTGCCTTTCAGGGAGCCCATGTACGCGCTTCTGCTGAGTTTGTTCCCTGAGTGAACTTGCTGGGTGTGTCCGTGGTCAGCTTTCAAAACCGGTCCTACCGATTCACGTTTCTGCCTGCCATGTGTGAGTTCCTGTTCGTCCTCATCCTCACTGATATTTGATATTGTTTCATTCACAGCAGCCCCGCTGCTCAGGGTGTGGGCAGTGGTGTTGCAATGAGGGTTTAATGTGCGGTTACTGGTGACTAATGAATGACCTGTGCTTATTTTCCTGTCTGTTAGCCATGTGGGGGTTCTTTATTGTGATGTGTCTGTTCAGTTCTTCCACGCACTTTCAAATAGAGTTTCCCTCTTCCTCTTGCCAGTTTGTAAGAGTTCTTAAATATTCAGAATATGAAATAGTGATTGAAAGTGTAATTTTAAGATATCTTTTTTTCTCTCAGAAGATTGCCTTTTCATTCTCCTAATGACATCCTTTGACGAACAGAAGTTTTTTATTTTAATGTTGTCCAGTTTACTGGGGATATTAAGTCCAGTTTGAAAAAACAGTCTTTGAGGGAACTCAAAGTAGCTGAAGGGGGTCAAAAGGGACCAACTTTTGGTTTTAAAATAAAGTCACGAGGATACAGTGTACACCGTGGTGACTATAGTTAACAATACTATATTGTATACTTGGAAGTTGCTAAGAGACTAGATCTTAACAGTTCTCATCACAAGAAAACAGCATCGTAACCACACACAGCATAGTAAGCAGATTGTATACAGACAGGGTGGGGCAGAAGTAGGTTCACAGTTGAGAGTACAAACAGACACAGAGTTTATTCTTTTATTTTTTTATTAACTATTATTTTCTGAACAACTGTACACCTACCCTGTATATTGAATCATTATGTTGTACACCTGAAATTAACATGTCATATGTCAGTTATATCAATTTTTTGAAAATCAGGAAGAGTTTTGAAAAAATCAGGAAGGTAATCAAAGTTAGGAAGATAATTTCCTGCAGTTTCCTCCAACAGCTTTACTGTTACTCTCCCGTATATCTACTCTCCGCTTGAAATTAATTTTTTGGTATGGTATTTTGATAGGAATTATGTTAAATCTATAGATTGCTTTGGGTAGTATGGACAGTGTAAGGATATTGATTCTCTTTCTATCCATGAGTGTGGTATATGCTTCCATTTATTTGTATCTTCTTCGATTTCTTTCTTATCTTATAATGTTTCAAGTGCAGGTCTTATACCAGGTCTTGGTTAGCTCTGTTCCCAGGTATTTTAATTTATTTTTTGATGCAATTATAAATGGGATTGTTTTCTTTGTTTCTCTTTCTGATAGTTCATTATTGGTGTATAAAAGGCAACTGATTTTTGAATATTTTGTACCTTATTACTCTACTGAATTCATTTATCAGTTCTAGTAGGTTTTTTTGTGGAATCTTTAGGTTCTCTCTGTATTATCATGGCATCTGCAAATAAGGACAGTTTTACTTCTTTCTTTCCAATTTGGATTTATTTTATTTCTTTTTTAATTGATTTTTTATTTTTATACTTATGAGCTTGAGAGAGGGTGGGGGGAAGAGGAGCAGGAAGAGAGAGGGGGAGAGAGAAGGCCGGGGGGAGGGGAGAGAGAGAGAAACTGATTTGCTAGTACACCTACCCATGCATTCATTGGTTGACTTTCATATGTGCCCTGACCAGGGATCAAACCTGCAACTTTGGCGTAACTGGGTGATGCTCTAACCAACTGAGCTGCCTGGCCAGGGCCCTTGTTTGTGTTTTATTTCTTCTTCTTGTCTGTTGTGGCTAGGACTTCTGGTACTATGTTGAATAAAAACTTCCATTTAGTAAGTATTCACTTAGTAGGGAAAGTGGATATCCCTGTCTACTTCTTGATTTTAATGGAAACGCTTTTAGTTTTCCCCCATTGAGTATGATGTTAGCTGTGGGTTGGCGTTATATGGCCTTTATTATATTCAGGTAAGTTCCCTCTATTCCCACTTGTTGAGAGTTTTTATCATAAATGGGTGCTAGATTTTTGTCAAGTGCTTTTTCTGCATCTGTTAATAGGATCCTATGATTCTTATCATTCATTTTGTTTATGTGGTTAATTATTTGCAGATATTAAACTATCCTTGAATCTCAGAAATAAATCCTATTCGATCATGGTATGTGATCTTTTTAATGTATCCCTGGATTCAATTTGCTAATTTTTGTTGAGGATTTTTGCATCTGTGTTTATCAGGGCTATTGGCCCATAATTTTCTTTCTTTGTAGTGTTTTTATTTGATTTGAGAATCAGGATAATGCTAACTTCATAAAAGAGATTGTGGATCTCCCCTCCTCTGGAATTTTTTGGGACAGTGTAACAGGGAGAGGTGTTCATTCTTCTTTGAGTGTTTGGTAAAATTCACCCATAAAGCCATCCAGTCCAGGACTTTTGTTTGTTGCAAGTTTGTTTAATACTGCTGCTTTTTTGGATGAGATTGGTCTGTTCGGATTTTCTCTTTCTTCTTGATCAGTCTTCAAAGATTGTGCGTTTCTAAGACTTTATCCATTTCTCCCCAATTGTCCAGTTGTTGGCATATAATATAATCCTTTGTATTTCTGTGGTATCTGTTATTACTTCTCTTTCCTTTCTGATTTTATTTATTTGGGTTTCTCTCAAGTCAGGTTAAAGGTTTATCAGTCTTGTTTTTCTTTAAAAAATCAGCTCTTAGTTTCATTGATTTTTTTCTTTTTTCTTTTTGTTACATTGATCGCTTGTATTTTTAAATTTAGACTCTATCTTATTTATTGCCACTCTGACTTTTACTATTTCCTTCCATTTACTGACTTTGAACTTTGTTTTTTGTTTTTTTTAGTTCCCTTAGGTGTAAGATTTGATTGTTTATTTGAGATTTTTCTTGTTTCTTGAAGTAGGCCTGCATTGCTATGAATTTTCCTCTTACTACCACTTTTGCTGTGCCTCATAGATTTAGGATTATTGTGTTATCATTTTTCATTTGTCTCAAGGTATCTTTTGATTTCTGCCTTTATCTCATGGTTAACCTGTTCCTTGTTTCATAACATGTTATTTAGCCTCAATGTGTTTGAGCTTTTCGGGTTTTTTTTTTTTTCCTTGTAATTGATTTGCAGTTTCATACTATTCTGGTTGGAAAAGATGCTTCATATGATTTCGGTCTTTTTACTAAATTTATTGAGACTTGTTTTGTGCACTAGTTTGATCTGTCCTGGAAAATGTTCTGTGTGCAATAGTAAAGAATATATATTCTGCTTCTTCAGGGTGAAATGTTCGGGAAATATTAAATTTATCAGTGTAATGTGTCCTTTCAGGCCACTGTTTCCTTGTTGATTTTGTGTCTGGAAGATCTATCCACTGATGTCAGCTGGGGTGTTAAAATCCCCTACTATGACCGCGTTACTGTCAATTTCTCCCTTTATGTCTATCAAGATTTGCCTTATATATTTAGGTGCTCCTATGTTGAGTGCAAAAAATAGCTTCTTATCTGCTTGACGACTGTGTCTCCAAAATCTCAATGTATGACTGTTACTAAATCTTTTCAAGATTACAGCATATTTGAGTGTAAAAGTTCCACAGCCTCAGCTGCACAAGAACCGAAAAGTAACGAGCAAGGTGTGCCGGGGTTTTAGGCTCCGGGAAGTAGACAGTCTCTATGGCTAATGGGACTTATGTCGTCTCTTGCTCAACTATCCTCTGTCAAAGATGGTGTTATTTCCGGTGTTTAAACCTTTCCCCATTAGTCACAAGAGCTTATACCAACCCACTTCCAGTGGCATCTGCTGTTGGGCAACTGGAGTTTTTCTTAACCAAGCAATGAAAAAAGGCCATTACCCCCAAATCAGCACGCATTGCCAGAAGGGCAGGTCATTTTATAAAATGAGACACTGACACTTTTAAATCTATATCTGTTGAGTAGATTCAAGCATTATGTTAATTTTTGACCTTTAGGCTATCGTTAAAATATCAAATGGTTCTCTGGTTTATAAGTGTAGCAGGGACAAACAACACATTTTATAAGACAAAATGGAAAAAATCTCTGAGTCCTATAAAAGCCAAGTGAGAGAGTATGTTTACTGCTTGGGGGTGGAAAGCAGTATCTCTCGAATGGTTGAAAGGAAGATGTTGACAGCCAGTAATCCCCGACCAGGGAAGAGATTTCAAAACCTGGCCGAGGTTATCAGGCACGGCCCGGCCCCACAGCACTGAGGCTGCCTGAACCCCTGGGAAACTAGGCAGGGAGAGAAACACATCCATAATCTAATGTTTGTCTGTTAGTCTTTCTGGCTGGCTTAGCAGCTTAACTGCTGATTCCTGTTCCCATTCCATCTCCTCTCTCTGCCCCCCTTGCTGCTGTGGTTCAAGTTTTCTTCTTTAGCTTTGATGTATTTTCATGAATGAACAGCACCTCTCTTCACACATTCACCAGCTTAATGATGAACAGAGCATTGCTGTCCAACACAGAGTGACATTCTTTATATTTTGAATCCCTTATTTGTCTGTATCTGATGGTACAGGTTGCTTCTGTGTTAACTCCCAGGGGGCTGGTTTTGACCTTTGCAGATTCGGCAAAGTGAGGAAGCCATTCTCCACCAGCCCTTCACCTCCGGCCCTGTCTCAGACCAGGGCAGGCTCTGCTCCTCCAGGCGTCCTCCCAGAAACCTGGGCCGAAAAAGCCTCTACCTTCAGGGACGTCCTGGTCGCTGTGGTGGGAAGAGAACTCGGCAGCTCCCGCATCCAAGGTATTCTCGGTCTTCCGCATCACTGTGCGCATTTAGAAGCAGTGTGACCATTCCTTCCCCCCCAAACCAAAACCCTTGTGGAATGTGGGGTAGCCCTTATCTAAAGAGGGGTTTGGGGAGAACTGATGACAATATTTAGTCTCCTAAACCACGTGTGTAATATACCCCTCCAGTATCTAGATGATTTTTTTTAAGTTTTAAAAAAATATTTTGTTTGTTTGTTTATTTTTAGAGAGAGAGGAAGGGAGGGAGAAAGCGAGAGAAGCATCAATGTGCGACAGAAACATCGTTCTGTCACTTCTTGTATGTGGCCCAACAAGGGACCAAAGGCGCGACCCACTCCTGCATTCTGACCAGGAAGGTGAACACTGCGACCTTTCTCATTGTGGGGTGGTGCCCGGCCCACTGAGTCACACCGATCAGGGTTCTAGATGTTTTTAAATCCATACTAACCCACACTATTTTCTGAGCATTATATGCTGTGCACCATTAGTACTTTATGTAAGTGGTAATATAAGGGCTAAAGGCCACAGTTAATGAAAGGCGAGAACCCAGCTGCAGCCTGCACAGGCTGCAGCCTTTGTCATTATGTGGCACCGCTTCCCTGAGCCTGCAGCTGAGGGAGGAAGAGATGGATGCAGGGGTGGACAGAAGAAGAGAGGGAGGGAGGAGTGAGCTACTCAGGGGAAGGCCAAGTTAAAGGAAAAGTTTCCCGAGATTTCTTCCATGTGTTTTCCTCTTCTGCTCCATGTCTGTCTATCTGGATACAAAATAATTTGCCCAAATAGCAACTGTTCTCCCATTTCAGCTTTAACAGGAAGCCCCCGTAAAGAGCTGGCCGCCCTTCCCCGGACCCCGAATGCACGCCAGGCCCAGAGGAGCGGAGAGCAGGCGCCCTCCTGGTCATGCTGAGCACACACGCTGTACGTGTGGCCACCCCACTCAGGTTCCGGTTTACCAGAACCCTGCCCCAGTCACGCCAGTATCTTTCCCAGGAGGGTTGAGGGGCCCCTTAGAGGCTGAGCCTCCATCAGGCAATAGAGAGAAAGAACATCGGAGCCTGCCCCTGGGTCCAAGAGTAAGGTAAGTACAGCTTTCATGACCCTCTTTCTCTGTCTCTTGTAGGATGGCTGTTCCGTGGGTTCAAGGCTGGGTCCCCTCCCTTCTCCCTTGTCACCAATGCCTGGTCTCCAGGGGTTAGTTTTCAGCCTAACACTATGGCATCACCCACCTCCTTCCCAGCTTCTGGCTCCAGGTCCAAGAAGCCTTTGGGCAGGATGGCTGGTGAGTGGAAGCAGACTCCTGTTGCCGATCTCGCTCCCCGTCCCCTTCGCCCCTCCTCCTCCCCCTTCCCCTCCTTTTTTCATATTGTTATACCAAGGAGTATTTTTAAATTGAAATGCGATTGGCACAAAACATTATATTAGTTTCAGGTGTACAGCATGCTTCACTATATACATTGCAAAATGACCAGCACAAGTTTAGTTGACATCTGTTAGCATGCAGAGTATCTTTCCTGTGTAGAGAACTTACAGTACTACATCCACTTTCTGTACCCTACATCTCAAGACTTACAAAGCAGTCAGCGTTCTTCTGTCTTCCAGAAAACTTTAAGATAGTGGGAACTTTGGGCAAGTCCTGAAGACACGCCCAATAGCCGGCGCTGGGTCTGCCGAGTTAGGCGGTATTGGCCAGTGCAGGAAGATGGGCTGGATTCCTGGCCCAGGCCACCCTCTGTGGCAGGGAGGAGGAGGCCTGGGGAGAATCGGGCCTGAGTGGAGTTTCTCCTGCAGGCTGGCTCAGGCAGGCCCTGTCCAAGAAGTCCAAGAAGATGCCCGTGTCCCAGGAAGGCCCCGGCAGTGACGCTCTGCCAGGATGCTCACAGGACAATGCTCCGCCAACGAGCTCACAGGATGACCGCCCACCACAGTGCCCCCAGGACCACCCCCCATCCTCGGGCCTCAGTTCAGCTGCATTGGCCGAGTCTCCTGCCCTGCCACCTGCACAGGAGGGTGCCACCAGCAGCAGCAGCAGTAGTGGCCGCTGGAGCAGGGACTACGACGTGTGCGTGTGCCACAGTGAGGAGGACCTTGCAGCCGCGCAGGAGTTGGTGGCTTACCTGGAGGACTGCTCCGCCAGCCTGCGCTGCTTCCTGCAGCTGCGCGATGCGGCCCCCGGCAGCGCCATTGTGTCTGAGCTGTGCCGGGCACTGGACAGCAGCCACTGCCAGGTGCTGCTCATTACTCCTGGCTTCCAGCGTGACCCGTGGTGCAGGTACCAGATGCTGCAGGCCCTGAGCCAGGCCCCGGGGGCCGAGGGCCGCACCATCCCCCTGCTCGCAGGCCTGGCCAGAGACGCCTACCCACCTGAGCTGCGTTTCATGTACTTCGTGGACGGCCGGGGCCCAGAGCGAGGCTTCCGCCAAGTCAAGGAGGCCATCCTGCGCTGTAAGCTCTGCATGGAGGGGACCAGGAAGGGGTCAGCATCTGATATGCTTGGGCTCTCAGGATACAGCCCCTGTCGCCCGGTAGTTCAAAATGCAGGCTCCGAAAGCGTTGTTTCTTGGGCAGTGACTTAACGCCTGTGCCTGGTTTTCCTCATTGGGGAAATGAAAACGGTACCCTGCACCTCAATACGGGTGCGCCCTAAGTTGGCGTTCCGAGCAGGGCTTAGCAGGAAAGCACTCCTAACAAGGCACACGTCAAGTCCTCCATAAGCTTAGCCATTATTAGCATTTTTAGTATATTCGTAGTATGAGTTTCCCTAACAGAGGCCAGGTTGGAGCTGTCCTCCAAGAGCTGGGAAGATGCCAGGAGGAACACTGGTGTAGTAAAAGGCAAAACGGTGCAAAATAGCAGGGAAGAATCGCCTCCAGTCCGAGTACCCAGGGGAGGACATTATATGACAGTAGGTTGGGAAGGAAAATCTGTAAAAAGTTAGATGAGGCGGAGACCTGTGGCGGGAAACAGATGCTGCTGGGCTTGGGGAGGCTGGCAGGCCCTGTTATTCTTTTTGGTGTCTTTCAGATCTGCAGACGCTCAGGTGACACTTCTTTTGTCATGGTTGGACCCAGGAGGCTGGCGCAAAGCTGGAAATCAAGTTAGAGAGCCCAGGGCCTTGGATCCAGCAGGTGTGACAGGGCCTGATGAGCTGGAGCTGGTAGCACTTCCTATGTGATCTGGGATCAGATTGCCTAGCAGGCTTCCATTATTGCTGGGGACTCCCCAGGAAGGCCCTGCGGAAGCTGGGGATTCCCCCAGAAAGGTCATGAAGAAGCTGGGGACTCCCCAGGAAGGCCCTGGGGCAGCCAGAAACTAGCGGTGTAGGAGGGGTTGATACCCTGATGACCACCAATGTTTTGCCTCTTCCTTATTGGACGTGAGTCTGGCGCATCCCTAGGTCTTCTTCCCCTGGAACCGGGCACAGGTGTAGGGATGCATTCCTCCTGAACAGGTGCCTCACCTGATGCATCATCAGCCCGAAGCCTAGAGTGCGTGTCTCAGCATGGATGGTTTTTCCGGTTGCCTGGGAAGCCCTGGAACAGAGGCCAGGAGAAAGCCAAAGGTATCAGGTCTTTCACACTCACACCGCTGCCATTCTCTTCCCCTTCATTCACTTCAGAAAGCTACATGAAAATAACACTCAGCATTGTACCGTATTTATTTTTACTGCATGCATGTCGTTCAAGACTCAGACCTAGAAACCTTCCTGAATAGACAGTAGACTGGGAGTAGGTGGGGTGAGGAGAAAGAAAGCTCTGACCTTTTACCTTGGGTCAAAAGCCCACCCACCAATGCTTTGACATGTGGGGGCCTCGTGGGGGTCCTCTTCGCCGAGAGAACCAGCATTTTTCTTCTGGCAGGTGACTGTGTGCCTTGATGACAGGCAAGGTTTCGTTCATCTGTCCTCGGGGAAAGTTGGTGGTTGAGGCAAAACGAAGTTTTTGTTCCACCACTGTGTGCCTTTGTGCTTCTCTCACTGCCCCCTCCTTATACTGAAAAATATTTATACATATATATATTTTTTTGTAATTGAAATGCAGTTGACATGTGACATGATACTAGTTTCAGGTATAGGAGTCAATATTTGTATATATTGTGGAAAAAATTATATTTTTAGCTATGAATTATTTTATTATATACAAAAGGACTAAAGCGTACTATAATGTACACTCGTGTGCCTTCCACCCGGCCTAGGAAGCAAAACGTAACAATCCTTCGTATGTTCCCTTTGTGCCCTTAATTATCTCCCTCCCGTCTCTCACCGGAAGTAACCACTATTCTGCATTTCTCCCCTTTGTCTAGAAATGTATTACATACATATGCATCCCTTACAACATGCTCCTTTTGTATGGTTTGAATGTTTACATAAATAGCATTATGATGTGCTCTGCGACTCCTGTGTTTTTCGTGTTGGTGAGATTTAGCCACATTGAGGCACGGGACTGCAGTGAATCCACTCGAGATCCGTCGTGCACACATACCACTGAACCACACATTCTGCCGCAGATGGACGTTTGGTTTTTCTGGTGTTCTTGCCATTAAAAAGGAGCAGCTTTTTTGGGAAAAAAAAAATGAGTATCTTTGTACCTGTTTCCATGGGCATGATTTTCTAGGATTTAGCCTGGATGGGGAACAACTGGGTAGTGAAAAATGTACATGTTTAGTTTTGGTGAAAGATACCAGATTTTCTTCCAAGAGTCGTGGCAGTTTATGTTCCTACCATTTGTGTATGAGTTCCCGCAGTTTGATGTTCTTGCTAACACTTTAGAATGACCAGATTTGAAAATGTTTGCCAATCTGGTGGGTGAAAACTGGTATCCTGTTATCATAATGTTCATATTTTCCTTTTTACAAAAGATTTTTTAAAATTCATTTTTTAGGGAGAGGGTGAGGGAGGGAGAAAGAGAACGAGGAGAAACATTGATGTGCAAGAGATATGACTGGTTGCCTCTCTTATGCCCCCTGCACCGGGGACCTGGCCCACAACCCAGCCACGTGCCCTGATCAAAAATTGAACCAGCAACCTTTTGGTTCACGGGCTGGCACTCAGTCCACTGAGCCACACCAGCCATGGTGTCCTTTTTACCTTATTCATGATAATCTGATGAATGAATCCCTATATGATGATAAATCCTAACACTCAGCTTTAACAATTACCAACTCGGAGTCAGGCTTATATCAGCAGTTACCCTACTCGTTCCCTCACCCGCCCTGTCTTCCAAAAGCAAATCCCAGGCTTTATTTTATTCCTCTGTATTTAAGTATGTATCTCTAAATTACTAGAAGTTTAAAAAATATATGACAATATGATGGTATCTTTTAAAGGATGTCTTATATTTTTTTAATATAAAAACTTTCACCTATTACTTTGTAGTCTGTGTTTTTGTGTCTTACTGAGAAAATCCTTCCTTACTCAGAAGAAGGTATTTTCTTTCAGAAGTACTTCACATGCAGGTCTTTAATGCACCTGGTTGCTTTCTTTGGGTTTCTTTTTGTTGCTGTTGCTCTTGGCTTGTAAGTCAGGATGGATGGCCTTCCCCCATTTGAACAGCTGATATTTACTAATTAGTCCATTCTCCCCCAGATGACTGTAATGGCACTGTTGAATGTAATGGCAGTTTGTCACATGTGGCCTAGTCCTGGGTTCTCCCTCCAGTCACCCCCATTTCTGTGTGTGTCTCTTTGTTAGTGGCATGTGGCTTATGGTTTTTAATAAGTCCTGCTAACTTGTGCATCGCTCCTTCCTACCCTTCTCCTCTATCAAAATCACTCTTTTCTTGTTCCTTTACTTTCATAGAAATTGTTTATTCAGTTTCTAGGAAAATACCTGTTTTTGTCAAGTTCCGGGAAAAGGGAACTTGACATTTTCCTGTTTTGTTTTACTGTTTTTTTCTATTGGGCCTACACAGAGTTGAGAGATTCATTTGGGAGTTGAGAAAAACAGATTTTTTAATGATATTTCATATTCTTAAAAATGGTACGTGTCCATTTTTTGATGTCTTTAAATGTATTTCAGTAAAGCTTTATAATCTTTTTCTAGGTCACTCAGTGACACCTGTTATTAGATTCCTTCCTTAGTATGTCATATTTTCTGTTGTTACTGTAAATATTTTTAAATTGTTTTTGTCTATTACTGATAGAGAAGATTACACTTTATTTTGCATACTAATCTGATAGTAATCAACCTGCTGAATTATTTATTCTCTAAGGCTATAGATTTGGTTGAGTTTCTATAAGACAATCATAAAATATGAGACAATCCTAAAAACTCCCTTGTCCTTCTGTGTTGCCCACCAGTGAAATGCTGAACTTGACAATGGCAGCCATGTTTGCCTCCATGATTCGAAAGGGAAAACTTCAAACATTTCACCGTTAAACGTAACATTTGTTGTAGGTTTTTGGTTTGGTACATATCTTTTAAAAGTTGTAAGTATCCTGTTGTTTCTAGTTGCTTCTCTAGAATGGGTTTTAAATTTAATCTAAAATTCCCACATCTACTGAGGTGATGGGTTTTTCCTCCTTTTAATCAGCTGGTGCAATGAATAAAATTGTAAAGTTTTCTAATGTTAAGCCAGCTTTACATTCCTGGGGTAAACCCAGCTTGACCATGATGTATTTCTTTGTTATGAGCCGCAGAATTCGGACTGCCAACGTGTTCTTTAGGATTTTACATCTAAGTTCATCTGTAGGGTTGGCTCATATTGCTCTCTCTTGTATCATCCCTCTCTGGTTGTGTCACCAAGGTTGTACCAGCTTTATGAAATAGTTGGGGAGTTGTCCCTTTTTTTTCTGATGGAAGAGTTTAAACTTAGAATTAATCATTCCTTAAATGTTTGGTAGACTCATCTGTAAATCCATTCAACCTAGCATTTTCTCTATGGGAAGATTGACAGCTGAAACTTCAATGTCTTAAAGGAGTTATAGATCTATTTCTTTCTTCTGGAGTCAATTTGGCCTGGAGTTAAGAAGTCAGTAAAGCACACAAGAGCAGCTTGAACAGATTTTTCAGTTTGAATTTCCTGGATCACATGGGCAGTATGAAACCGAATTTCAATCCTACATGAAGATTGGCCTGTGGTTATTATACCTTTGCAGGTGATTTTTTGTCTCTCCTCCACAGCCAGATGTTGAAGCAGGCAAGTTTACTAAATATCTTGTCTCCTTTAGTGGGGCAGCTTTTGTTTTATTCATTTTTAAAATAGTTAGCCCTTGTATTGAGGTGGTGGCCCTTCAGAGATCTCTCTGGGGAGTTCTCGCTCACCAGACACAAGCTCAGGTCTTGTTTCCTATGCGCAAAACATCACATTTAAAGCCCAAGGCTCTAGATTTCTCGAAACCAGAGATCAGTCTTAGAACTTCAGTTTCTATATCTGCTTCACATTATATAAATTCGTGCTCCCACATTTTTCCTTTCAGATTTTTTTTCTTCTGAGAGCTGTAAGGTAACCAAAAGGATGTTTTTAATCATGCATCTGAAATTGCAGGTGTTTTTAGCTGAACTGTTTTTCGGATATCTGGTGGAAGTGTTTAGTCCTTTAAAAAAAGATTTGGGAGAAGTTTTGAGATTCAAGAAGACTGAAGGGGGTTGATGCTTACAGAGACTACGGTTTTCAAGTAATAACCTCCTAATACAGCACCGTCCACTTGAACTTGTTGTGATGACAGGAAATGGTCCACATCCGTGCTGTTCAGTACAGTAGCCACGATTCCTACGTGGCTCTCAAGCACTTGAAACGGGGCTGCATGATTGAGAAGCTGAATTTTTAATTTTAATCCTAATGAATTTAAATAGCTACACGTGGCTACTGGCTATCAAGTGAATAGGGCAGAGCCTTCTGATGATTCCCAACGAGCTGAACCAAAACCATCAACTGACAAAGGCCTCTGAGAACCAGCAGTGAGCTGAACAGTGATCTGTGGTGTTGGTAAAGGTCCCTTTCACTCTGCCAGCTCGTATTCCAGTAGGTCCTTTGATAGCTGAGGCCCTTGTGAGCTCATCCTTCCCTTGAGCCAGGGCTTAAGACTAGAATTCTGACTTTATGGATATTTGTTTTAAAGATTTATTTTTAGAGAGAGGGGAACAGGGAGAGAAACATTAATATGTGGCTGCCTCCCTTGCATCCCTTGCTAGGGACCTGGTCTGAAACCCAGACACGTACCCTGACTGGGAATCAACTAGCAACCCTTTTTCTCATAGGCCAGTGCTCAAACTACTGAGCCGCACCAGCCAGGGCTGTTTCCTTCGTATCATTCCAGTTTTAGGTCAGTGTCATCTCCAAACAGGCCCATGACCACCTTCTCTAAAGTCCTTCCTATGCCCAGCTCTGTCCCATTGCCCTGTTTATTCTATAAATAATACATTAATCATTGTCTGAAAGTATAGTATTTGTTCACTTCGTGTCTATTTGAACATGAATTCTATGAATATAGAGGTGTCTTCTGTCTTAACTGAGGACGGACTGAATAAGTGTCTGGCAAGTAGAAACGGAGGCCTAAAGAGGGTAAGTGACTTCCCCGATGCTGCACAGCTAGTCAGCGTTGGGGCCAGGCTTTATGGCTCCCAATTCAGGGTTCTTTTTGTTAAAATATAGCAACTCTGCTCAAATTCTTTTCAAGGTGCAAGGAAGAAAATTTTTAAAAAACCATGGAGGGGGGTACAAAAAGAAGAGGAAGGAAGGAAAAGAGGAAGAAGGCGCACACCTAGAAATTTTCATAAGATCAAGGCCTCACCATTCCAAGCTGGGTTTGCTGTTGCCATTTTGCTCCAGGACATTTTGTTTGGGGGTTGCACAGTTTACAGCCTATTGTATATTTCCAGAAGGTGAGGGGTATACCCAGGAAACTTGTCGACAAACAGCAAGTGTTTGTGGTTGAAGATAATTATTCCAGATCCTAAGCTTCCCCCTACTAATGATCTTTGCTTCATAAAACAATTAGCCTTTTATCCACCTCATCATATACGAGTATATTTCTGGTAGAGAAAATCAACGCCAAAGCAAACTGTCATTGACATCTAGTACACTTCATGATTTACTGACCGACTCAAAATTGCGCCCACCATTATTTTGTCTGAAAAAACAAACTCAATAAAACCAATGTTGGCAAAAATACTAGAATTTTTTACTAAAACTTGCTGTACCAACTCTTGACAAGATTTAGATCTGTGAAATAACACCAAGGGAAACGGGACTAGTCAGAAATAATGGGTACAAAAGAAACAAAGCAGAAACTGTAGATAAAATGCTCATATGTTCCCCGCCCTCCCCAAAGAAGAAACTAATAGATAAATCATATTCATGCTGCAAATCACACCTCGGGGTCGCATAGCAGACACGCAGGCAAGTAGGTACAGAGGAGGCAGAAGCCCCCAGGCCGCAAGAAGAGCA